TTAAAGGTATGCGATTTGAATGTTTTTAAACTAAAAAAATATTATGTCAACCGTAAGTAGGTTAACTATAAAGATGAAATAGGAAAACAAAAAGGAAGTTTTAAGTGTTTTTTTTAATCATTCAATCGAACAACTGAATCTGATTTAACATCTATACAGTGGCTACACTGAAGCAAAAAAAGGAAGTGTTTTTGCTTAAACCAGTTTTTGCTACGCAGAAACGCCGCGTATTATAACACTTATCATAAACAATTTGTGTCATGAGTTTTCGTTATTGTTTTGATGCAGCAAGCATTATCATTTTTAACAGAAGCAATTTAAATTTGTATCATCAAAACTTATTTTATTGGGAAATGGGGTTGACGTTGACAATAAAAGATAAACAAGAATTTGTAACAGAGTTACCAACGTCCCCCGCCCCGGGAGTTTTATATGAAGCATAAAATTGTGCTATTTCAAAAGATTGAGGTATGGATCTCAGGACATTCAGTCCAAAATTATGATCAATGCTAGATCTGCAAATGTAACAATAAATTTGTTAAAAAAATAAAATGAAACACTGAATTTAAAAATCTATCATGTTAAGCTTGGACCTCTAAGTGTGACCTTGACCTTGGAGGTAGGGGAGTAGGTGTTGTGCATGACATAATGTCTCATTATTGAGACTATTTGTGCCAAGTATTTTTAAAATCCCTTGAACTATGAAGAAGTTATAGATTGGACACAAGATATACCCTATAACAGACTATGTAAATCTTTGACCTCTAAGTGTGACCTTGACCTTGGAGGTAGGGACACAGATGTTACGCATGACATATCATCTAATCATTGTGACTATTTGTGCCAAGTATTTTCAAAATCCCTAAATCTATGAAGAAGTAATAAACAGGACCAAAAATATACCAAATAACAGACTCTGTTAACCTTTGACCTCTAAGTGTGACCTTGACCTTAAGAGGTAGGGGTGCAGGTGTTGTACCTGACATATCGGCTTATTATTGTGACTATTTGTGCCAAGTTATTTCAAAATCCCTTGAACTATGAAAAAGTTCTAGATTCGACACAACATATATCCTATAACAGACTATGTAAATCTTTGACCTCTAAGTGTGACCTTGACCTTGGAGGTAGGGACACAGATGTTACGCATGACATATCATCTAATCATTGTGACTATTTGTGCCAAGTATTTTCAAAATCCCTTAATCTATGAAGAAGTAATAAACAGGACCAAAAATATACCAAATAACAGACTCTGTTAACCTTTGACCTCTAAGTGTGACCTTGACCTTAAGAGGTAGGGGTGCAGGTGTTGTACCTGACATATCGGCTTATTATTGTGACTATTTATGCCAAGTTACTTCAAAATCCCTTGAACTATGAAGAAGTTCTAGATTCGACACAAAATATATCCTATAACAGACTATGTTAATTTTTGACCTCTAAGTGTGACCTTGACCTTCGAGGTAGGGATGCAGGTGTTGCGCATGACACATCCTCTTATTATAGTGACTATTTGTGCGAAGTATTTTCAAAATCCTTTGATCTATAAAAAAGTTTTAGACCAGACACAAAATATACCCTGTAACAGACTATTTAAGTATTTGACCTCCAAGTGTGACCTTGACCTTGGAGGTAGGTGACCGGTTTTTGCGCATGACACATCATCTGATTATTGTGAACAATTATAGCAAGTATTTACAAAAGTCCTTCATAGATAAGAAAGTTATGGACCGGACACGACATATACCCTCAAATAGACAATGTTGACCTTGAATGAGCCAGTACGACCTTGACCCTGAAGGTACGGGTCTGGTTGTTGCGCATGACACATTGTCTTATTATAACAAACATTTGTGCCAAGTTATCTTAACTTCCTTTGATAAATGACAAAGTTATGGACCGGACACGAAATTTACCCTGTAACAGACTATGTTAATATTTGACCTCCAAGTGTGACCTTGACCTTGAAGGTAGGTGACTGGTTTTTTGCGCATGACACATCGTCTGATTATTGTGAACAATTATGGCAAGTATTTTAAAAATCCCTTCATAGATAAGAAAGTTATAGACCGGACACGACATATACCCTCAAATAGACAATGTTAACCTTGAATGAGCAAGTACGACCTTGACCCTGGAGGTACGGGTCTGGTTGTTGTGCATGACACATCGTCTTATTATAACAAACATTTGTGTCAAGTAATTTCAAATTCCTTTGATAAATGACAAAGTTATGGACCGGACACGAAATATACCCTGTAACAGACTATGTTAATATTTGACCTCCAAGTGTGACCTTGACCTTGAAGGTAGGTGATTGATTTTTGCGTATGACACATCGTTTGATTATTGTGAACAATTATGGCAAGTATTTACAAAATCCCTTCATAAATAAGAAAGTTATGGACCGGACACGACATGTACCCTCAAATAGGCAATGTTGACCTTGAATGAGCAAGTGTGACCTTGACCCTGGAGGTAGGGGTCTGGTTGTTGCGCATGACACATCGTCTTATTATAATAAACATGGACCGGACACGAAAGTGTGACGGACGGACGGACGGACAGACAGACGGACGGACGGACAGACGGACGGACAGACGGACGGAGCCTATTTCTATATCCCCCTTTTTTCTTCGAAAAGGCGGGGGACAATAAATATCAAGACTCAAGAATACGTCATTGGGATTGAAATATTGTGTCAAATCCGCCGCGGCGGTTTTTTCCCTTGATCAATTAAGCATATAAAAAGAATGGGGAATCACGGAAATGTGTTGGGTATTTTTATCTGATATAAAGCGCTTATTCACATACCTATGTGAAATAAATTTAAATTGCTTGTGTTTCGTTCAGAAATTGAAGGTGCTCCACTAAGGCAAACGAGCTTAAAAACAGAAGATTTGAAAGCCTTACATAGATAACTGCGCAACTACCAACGGACGAAAATGTAAGAAATACACTCAGATTCAAATTAATAATCGATTTTATTTGTTGGTGCGATTCTTTGCTGACTTTGAGTTAAAAGCTTTAAAACACGTTTTCACTTTCGTGTCACTTTGCAGAATAATATGACTATAAGGCGAAACAGAGTGAACTTATGATATGTCATGTTGCAAATAAGTAAAAATTTAAGTACCTACATCAAATTGTACACAAATCTAAACAGAGTGAACTTATGATATGTCATGTTGCAAATAAGTAAAATTTTAAGTACCTACATCAAATTGTAAACAAATCTCTAAAAAAATAATTCCTGTAAAATTATGATGAAAACATCAGTCGAGTTCCTTTAACTTATGAAATGTAAAAAAAATAGGAAAAGAAGTTATAAGATACGCTATTTTTTATACATTTACTTGCCTCTTTTAAAATGCTAAACATTCATCGTTTGCTTTTTTATTATTCCATGGCCGAGTGGTTAATGTTGTTGACTTAAAAAATGCTCAACACCCCTGAGGGTTCAAATTCCGCAAGAAACGTAAGATTCCTTTATGCGAGGGAGCTATCAAGCTATGGAAAGTTGATTGCTACTTAGGTACTTGACATAATACACGAAGGGTATCTGAGATCCTCTGCCACCAGTAAGGCTGGAAACTCGTCATATTATGTGTTGGTGCAAGATAACCCAAATTTTGTTCAGGGCGTTTATCGATATGTATTAATTTAGACAAATACTATATTCTATATTTATATGGTCAATTATGTGACTGTTATTTTGCTAACAGTAACCTTCAGATTTTATTTCATATTGGAACATATCTTGGATAAAAGTAGGAAAATGAGCATCTACAACCGGCTTAACCTCCATAGTTGTGGTTAAGGTACTGGTTATTTCACTTTATATTTGTGATCAAATGTAAATTTCTTTTCATGCTGCCTCGCTGGTTGGTGTTTAACATGCTCTGCCTGTGAATGTTGCCCGCCTTGTTGTTCTATGTTCTCAGTATACTGTACAAATTTAAAATGTCATATGAAACTTTTTCTCTCACAAATGTCTAAACACCACATCTCTTTAATTGAGTAATTGCCCATTACTTTTATACCTAAACATTTTCTTGGAAATAACTCTATAGGAATTGCAGGTATAGACTTAAATCTCGTATGTTTGTAATGTATAAAGAACTCATTAAGACGTGTGTAAGAGTCATAACTTTTGAATGCATAATTTTGGGGTAACTACAATTAAGATTTTTATACTTTAATTTTGTTCGGAACAATGTTTATCTGTTACACATTGAACGGATTGTATAGGCGTTTTCATATATCTTTGATTCTTAACATATATGTACACTATAACTCTTTAATCAATGGTTAAGCTTGTAAACGACATGGATAGGTGCAAGGTGGTTTCGAGCGATATCGACTTTTCCATTATCACACAAGCCGGACTAGGGTATTTGTGTCTGTTCTTTTCTAATCGTTTATTGACTTCTTGATTTTTTATACTACTGTGTAAGTAAAACCGAACACTCATGATTTGACTGAAAATTCGGATTTTCGTGTAATTTTAAGTGTTGCTGTATGTGAATCTCTTTTGTACGTATGAAGTCATACACAATGTTATGTGTGTCCCTAATAAGAAGGAATACAATCAAAAGTTATAGCTTCATTAACTATAGCTTGTTGTTCTTTGTTGGAATGCATTAAGAGTCGGTTTGTATCTAACTTGTTTCCTATGGGACTTTAACAATAGCACATGCAAATTTATTGAACATCTATATTGTGCGCCTGTATGTATATGTTCCGTGGAATTACTGGACTAGCAAGATACAAAAATTCAGGCTGTAATAAAATGCTGCATAGAGCGGATTTATTGTAGTGCAGAGCATTTATACTTTGGTTCCGGGAGCTCATACACAGTAAGATATTGAAACAAAACAACCACACTTTTGGTTCAAGCAGATTAAGTTTTACACATGACATTGTGTTTTCCATGGTTGAAGTTATTAAAAAAACATTATTATCTAGGTACTGATTTCGGTGGACAACAACACAAATATACGATTTCTTGTAAAAAAGGTTTATTCTATTTTTTGTTGAATAATTTTTGCTAAGAAATATAACAGGAAGAATTGTTTATCTATATGACTATACATGGCATACATATTGTGAATAGATGAATAAAATCCATGTTTTGTCCTTACTGAAATGTCTAACTAAATGACGGTGACGAGTGCAAGTATTTAATGTAGCGATTAATAATATATATACAATTAAAGTCATTCATTATTTTATAGTTAGACGCTTATAAAAAAAATAATAAAACGATTAAAACAGCTAAAAAGGAACACGAGCAACTGCAGCTGCTTAAGAAGTTTCTCTTTTTTCATACAAGCGTCTTTCTAACTTACTTAGTCCTTGACCTACTTTTTCTACACACACGTAGTGATATCTAAATAGACGCAGCGTTTGATTTTTTTTCTTCATAAGCCTCTAACTAACTTAGTCCTAGATCTTCTTTTATTTCACACGCGTAGTCATATCTCATTAGAATCAGCCTTTAGTTTCCTCTTTTTCTTCTTATTAGCATCTAACTTAATTAGTCCTAGATCTACTTTTTCTTACACACGCATAGTCATATCTAAATAGAGGCAGCGTTATATTTCTTTTTTTTTCTTATAAACGTTTGTCTAACTTAGTCCTTAATCTATATTTATTGTCTGCACCCACGTGGTGATATCTAAATTGACACAGCATTTAAATAGTTCAATAAACTGTCAGAAGAATTCAAATTAAGATATCCCAATTCGGCGAAAAAGTAGGACAAAGACTATTTTCAAACAAGTGACTTCAGACAAAACAATAAACTTGATAAAAAAATGTCGTCAAAGGGTATAAAGCTTTAACATGTACAAGTGCCATATCATTAAAAAAACAAGTATACTTTCATGTTATTTACAAACTCGATTTCAAAATTGGAGTGTTTCTGATATCAAACACATATGACCAACGGCATAAGAAAACTGACCTTAACTTCACGAGTTTTTTAATTGACATATTGGATTCATAAAGAAATTCGCCTCTTAATATAAATAAAAAAGAACATTTGGAATTTGCTTATTGTTACTTATTTATATTTCTCTTTAACATTTCAATGGTAATTCACATTTTTAATTTGAATGTCAATTACAACGTTAAAGTCTTTTGATATCATGATGTAAAATGTAAACAACTACTTAATTGAACGAAAAAAACAAACAAAAAGTCTTTCTATTTATTAGTTGTATTTACCTATGATATAGTTGCTTTAAATAAAAATAAATAAAAAACTATTGCAAATTATGCACTTAAGTTTTATACACTTCAAGTCATGGTTATGCTTTGATAGCATATATGAAAACAAAAAAAAAACAATAATAACATTACAAGATGTTTTTGAAGGTATTTAGAATGACACATGCAACAACTGTAATAAGGCCGAATGTTGACATGTATTTCACGGAAGCTCCGTTGCAAAGGTCCGAAGTGCATAAGCACACCGCTGCATCCCCTTCTTCTTCGCAGTCGTCCGTCTTGACAATTGGTATACATCCTCTGACAACTTCTGCAAAATATATATGAGATTCAATTGATTTATGGCAACACATGTTTCTCTAAAAATGTTTGTCCAAAATATATCTCCTATATATTTATTAAAATGAAAAAAACTGTGATAGTCATCATCATAGCCCAACTGCTATGCATCTACCGAATAACGGTGTATGTAAAATATTAATGCACGGAGTGGCACCTTGGATATTTCTCTACCGGCAGAGCCGGAAAGTCACTTAATAACTTTAAAACATTCCGTGTGAATTAAAACCTTACAAACAAACTACGATAGACTTATGGTTTATATAAATATCAAAGCATAAGAATTGCAACAACAACAATAATTTGTTTGTGTTGTCTGTATTTTATGGCGCACTAACACGAGGTGATATTCGCGTCAAAACACGTAAGATAATTTTGGCTTGCCTTGGGTGACAAAACATGACGAAACAGGGGTAAAAACTACCCCAATTCCAGCACTAAGTAATGGACATATCTCCTAGCCTACAAAACAATATCAACAAACGTCGTGGGTTGAAATCATTTTTATTTTCGTTATTTGTTCATAATAAATAGTTATAAAATAAGCCGTCAACTGAACACATTTAAAAATTCCCTTTAATATACCACAGTTGATTGATATTAATAACTACCATACAAACTTTCAAAAAAAAGATACTCGCTACAGCATAACTTACGGTCTTTTGCTTTAGTCTTCGAGCATGAGCCAGAGCAAGTGACTTTGGAGACACCACTAGAGCTGAATTCATCATTACATCCGGAGACACACTGATAGCATTCCAAGGCGGAGACTTGATATACTTTATAAAAGATGAAGGAAATGTTTATAGAGAAAAAGATACTATTATACCATTTAATAAAAAAAAACAAAGAAATTCGTCTAAGATGTACTATGCTTAAAGTCGGTATTTGAAAATAAAGATAATTGCTTCACATCTCTTTTTCAAAATATATTCAACAATTAATCATATTATGCTGAAAACTATTGTATAGTGTCATTTATAAAAAAGAACATTGGCAGATTTTTAAAGAAAGGGCAAACTTTACTTGACCAGTTACAGGGATTGCAGTTCATTGTACAAAGTTATATTTGTATTCAAACAAGTCATTTTTGGTTAGACTTTAATACAATTTTGATCAAGAGTGTGACTTGTTACTGTATATCTTTAATGAAACGGGTAAATTGGATATAAAGCTATGACGTCATGAAATATATTTTTATGAATTTTCTAAACGATAAATTATCATTGTTTCCATATGGTCAGTTCTTGAAGGAATACTAACATATATTGTCTCAATTACTTACACAGACATATGAGTCCAAGAGATGACGAGGCTGTATTGCAATTTTCTTTATCACAAAAAGAAACATTGTCGTTATAAAGAATATTTTTTGTTTAGATTTTTTTTATCATGATTTAAACTTAAGGCTTTTTAAGTTCACAACGTCAAGCAAAATATGCTCACAGGGACCGTAATTCTACCACTAGAATGATGTCGCTATAATTGTACACTATAATTGTTTGACAAGGTGTTATTATTACTATTAGTCTTATTTTTTTTCGTTTTTTAATCGTTCTAATTTTCTTTCTTTCTTGCTTTTTTTTTCATTGTGCCAACATACCTTTATAAACATGAGATATAATAAAAGAAAATATCGCTTTAACAATGATCGGTATGACGATAAAACGAACACAACAAGGTGGCAGTTTTATTGTCAATTTTATAGGTAATAAAATATTGAGCATTCGTTTTGAACCATTTATTTTCATTTATTATTTTCTCAAAAGCTTTGTAATTTTCTTGTACTTCTATAGTACTGTAACTATCCCAACAGTTGCTCATTGGCAAATAACTTTAATTGTCTTTTATATATGTTGCTTTTTTTTTGGTTTTAAAGCGGCACACCACTAAATAAATGCTTATTTTCTTGAAAATTTTGAAAATGTAATTTAAAGCATTATATTGTATATTAACCAAAAGGAAGCAATATATACATTAACAAGGCACTTACCACCCACGTTAATTACAAAAAGGGTCAAAATTTGCAAAAAAAGCCCTAACTGCGTTAGAAACGCAGTATAAATATAGTAAAACGTAATAAAAAAAATGGCCATTATTTGCCCATAATATGTGAATTATTATTCGAATCTTGAATTTTTAACTTTATCTGAACTCTTATTCATTTATCTCAAGTTCAAATTTATTGAAATATTTTCGCTCATCTGGAGGCATGCTGCTTTACGAGCAGTTATAGTGATTACAAATTTTAGTTTCTGTAAATGTTTTATAAAAATATATGTAAATATAAGTAATAGTGAGGAATACAGCAATTACTTCGTTAAGCGAGTGAAAAATATAATTATTTAAAACTATGTTTTTTTTTCTTTCGCAGGTCGTCTTTTCATTTCAGAGATAATGGTTTTGCTCTTATAATTTTTTCTAACATTATGTCCGGTGAATGTTGCAACATGAACAAACATGTATCTATTTATATCTTTTATAAACGATGACCGCTCAAAGTGGTTGTTCTAAGTAAAATGCTTGTACTTTAAGTCAGTTTTTATTTCATTTTTTCTATGTTCATATTATCATAAAAAATAAAAGTATTAAGCCTAAAGAGTACATTTTAAAAATATAAAACAATTATAACTATCTTCATTATAATTTCCTATAGTTAATAAATAAAAAAATGAAATGAAAATACTGCTCACCAACAAGTGTCAACAAACAAAATCCAATTAACAAATTCATCTTTTAGAGAAAGTTTACTAAACTTTTAAATGACAATATTTCCCTAATGTTTAATGATTTACGTCTCTCTATCACTAGTGCCGCTCACCAAATGAAACCTGGATGGCCGGGGTAAAAAAAGGTACGCATCAGTGCCCTGTAACCGCAATTTGATATTTTTGCACAGAAAATGACCTTCACAGTGTATAAAAACTTTTTGTTAGTCAGCAACTTTCGTGCTGGTAATTTACGTTCCTGGCCGACGGGAAAATAATTGCATTAAGTGTTTGACACTGAAGCCTTTCAAGCCGGTACAAGAGGCGGAGCAAATGTTAGTCTGTGTAAAGTATCTTCTTATCGTGCAGAGTTTGTGATAATTTTTCCTGTCATTGCATAATTCATTGCCATTCAATACAGACTGATATTAAATGGAGGGTACTGAATGGGCGTAGGTTCAAAATAAAACAAGTTAATACATTTAGACTATTTAATCTGCATGAATATATTTTGTTTTAAGTATTCAAAATAGGAACGGCTAACAGTTTCAAAAATTTTTTTTAATGACGTGCCAATGGCTTTAGACGTGTAGACGTTGAATACTGCTTAAGCCGGTGTGTGTGGGTGGGGTGGGGGATGGGGTCCGTGCCAGGGGAAGAGGGGGCAGGAATGTTTTCAAGGTTTAAATTCATCGCTATCGTCAATCAAACCGAGTCTGTAATATGTTCAAGTTTGGCATAAGAGCTTTCTTAGCGGAATTATTTTGTTATTATTCAATTCCTTTACTTTAACTATAAATAATAGAACATAGATCAACAAAGCAATGGCTACGTTCACAGAATACAGCCCCCGACACAATCCAGCCACAACAGGCACCAATGAGGGACCGGACCAAAACCGGTAGAGGACATGGTGGTGAAAGAAGGGGAGGGGCGTATGATAACATAAATACTATTATCAGATTTTTATTGTTAAATCAAACATACTTTTGAGAAAATTAATAATAATAATAATAATAATAATAATAATAATAATAATAATAATAATAATAATATAAAAGATAGAAAAACAAACTGATTTATTTTATGCTTTTGATTGTATAACTGATTTATCAGTGAAAATTATAATTGATAATTTCAAAGTGAAAATTTTTATTACTCAATGCCGGGTCTGATATAAATTTGCCGTAAGTAACAGAAATAAGGTCGGATGGTGTGACTATTTCTTCTACTAGAATTGTTTGTTTTGAGTTTGAAATCAAGGGATCATTGATTTTTTTGGAATAAAATAAATGATATCATCGTCATTTAACGTTGATTTTCGATCTTTTTTTCCAGACTTTTTGTAAGTCGACTAAAATGAGGGTACCAGTGGGACAAACAAATTTAAAAATTAAATTTAATATTTAAACTTTTGTTAACCATAAAAAAGAAATTGTTTGTTGTGTAAGATGTAATTTATTTCAATTCATGAACTTTAAAAACAGTATTCTCACTCCTCGCTACATCACTCGTGAGAATACTGTTTTTAAAGCTCACTCGACAAAATAAAATAGCATCTTACACACAAACAAACAAATGTCCTCTATATAATTCATTTAAAAGAAGCTCCATTGAAGTAAAAAGACTGAACACATAAAAAAATGATCATATTAATACTATTATCAGTTAAACATAAGCCCAATGAAACCCGGTTGGCCTTGTGAAAACACTCAGACTGTTAAAGAAATGTTAATAATAATAATAATGATGATAATAATAATAATAATAATAATAATGATGATGATGATGATGATGATGATGATGATGATGATAATAATTATATTAATAATAATAATTATGATAATAATAATGATGATGATGATAATAATAATAATAATAATAATAATGATAATAATAATAATAATCATAATAATGATAATAATTAATAATAAGAAGAAAGTAAAACAAACAGAATATAATTTATTTGAATATGCTCAGAATTAAATAATTAATCGATTTTGTTTGTGAAATTTAAGCCCTTTTAAGTTTAAAAGCGTTGTAGCCCTTTTTTATTCTTTGGTTATTTTACACAATAAAAAAACGTGACTTTAAAAAATAAAAAAAGAGATGAGTTAATAATGTGAAAAGTCGCAAACAAGTTATTTGTCCAAACCAACATAAAAAAGTACACAAAATAGTAGATGTATATAAATGTTATATATACAGTTGTAATAAGGGTAACATGTGTGGTCATTGAACCAAACTACATTGTATGAATACAATGTTTAATATATTAAGATAGCGTGGGCCATTTAAAGGTGATCGTCTATCTATTTTCACTACATATTTAACCACTTAACCATTGATTTGTACATACATCACAGGCGGTCAAACGTAAACATAAATTGGTAAACATAAACAAATATAAATGTAAACCTCGAATTTTTTAAAGATCATGTTACTCAATTTTTATATGGTTTAATATAATAAATATAATGCTCAAATGAAAATTTATCAATATTGTTCCAAAATAGATTTATTTGTGAAGATATTACCAAATTTACATTTCATGTTAATAAAGGGTGGTAATAAGAAATTCATTTTCTATGAAGTTTAAGTCACTTTTTTCCAATAAATTCATATAATAAATGTGAACAAATATTTGCAATATATATTTTACATATTCTTCGATGTTTGAAAATTGGTTTAGAAGCATATTTATATACATATATAAAATTTCACTTAAGGACGGTAACAACCTTAATTTCAACCTTTTATTCTGCATTTCAAACGGTTATTGCCATCACAATATTTTTTAACTTACAAGATTTCAGTTCGCCGTGAATTTCATACACACGAGACAATTCGAATTCGCATTCACCAATGTTGAAACCAACAAATCGATAGCTAAAATATAATAAACAAAATCAACAATGAAAGGCGGCGTTCAATGAACTTATAGGTCCATCGTATCGCTGAAATTCTTTTATTTTTGTTTCTTCGTATCGATATATTCAGGAAATATACATAAACACATATATAATATTGTAACATATATCAACTTTCATACATATAAAAACACACAAACAATGCAATATTTATTTTATAAAATTAAATAATTAGTATGTTTTATGTTACCCTAGGATTGCCAATTAAGCTTAAAATAACTTTCCAATTGGGCTCATTTACTGTTAAATTATCACATTAACATAAATGATAATAATGAATGATTAAGAAGTTTACATAAATGAAAGTTTTGCAAAATTGTTCAACAATCAAGACACATTTCGATATAATAAGACAAGTACATTGTACACAAACAAACTTAAATAAATTCCGTATAAACTGAACTAAATAAATAAATACATTACCATATTAAATATAAACATGTTACAAAATCTTATCATTAGTCACACATCAATGTAATAATAAATAAACATTTTATTCACTTGTTTATCATTTTCATTATTTCAGAAAAGTTTTACTTTTGGTTTAAAGATCCTACTACACAATTGTTTATGGTTTTGTATTATAAATATGATTCTCATATAAGATTTATCACTTTTGTATGTCCCAAAAGCATTATTTATACAGATTTTACCGAATTTAACATTTCATGTAAATAAAGGGAGGTAATAAAAATTTATTTTCTTTAAAATCTAAGTCAAATTTTTCATTTATAAAAGAATGCATATATTTTAATGATTACATATAGTATGTACAAATATACAAAATACAAGTATACACTACTGTCTATGACCACTTTTATTCTATTATATTTCATAACAAAAACATGCTAAATGTATTACTCAAATGCACCCAACCAATTTTATCAATTATGCAACCACCTATACCTTGTAGAATTGAAAACAACAAATCTACTTTGTGTGGAGTGAAAACATGTCTACTTCAAAATTACAGAGAGACTGTATAAAAACTATAAATATTTTCCTAAATCAAATTTGAGCATTTTAGTATATCTTAAATAAAGTATATAAGCGTACTTTATCACGATTCATTTAATGTCATTCATTACGGTGGCATGGTACATATAGATCCAGATAATGAGAAAATATTTGTTGGTGTAGCAAAAAATCGAATAGCTTTGACTCACCATCAATTATCAACTATCATTAACGATTCAATCACAGGATTCTTTCCCTGTATGTATTTTGTCTCTATTTTTCTTTTTATCTCACTTTTTTATATTTGAACTCATCAGCATAATTTTGTTGATTAATTGTTATTTCATATTTATGTTTCTAACAAAGCTCATTGTTTCCCTATATTGTGATGTAAGATGAAACACGACAGCCTTCGTCGTCAACAAACGACACAATTACTCACCTAATCTTGTACTCATTCTTATTATACAATTAAAGTGACACTATGCTCATATCTTAATAGTCAAGTTGAGCGGATTTGACTTCATATTTCAAAAGAGTGTCTGTTAATATGGTGTTTGACCGACAGGTGATATTTGAAAATGTTTAGGATAAAATTATAAATCTGCCTAAAATATAAAAAGACGGCCCCACAATTTTAGTAAATTCTAATGGATATTTGCAGAAAATTCCTTAGGATCCATGTGTTATTTATTGTTTTTGCAAAGTCAAATATCAAATCAAAAGGAATTATTGCAAAATGAAAACTTATTTAAATATTCACATGTTCACTCACTATATACCCTTAGATGGGCATACTGCCACTTTAAGATAAGACTTCACTTAGCATTCTGTTGTGTCTAATTTACATATTTTTGAATTGAATGTAAATATCATGCTTCATTTTTTTTCTAATTATAGCATAGTATGCAAGCTTGGGGAAATAAAACTAAAACAGATAACAATCAAGAATATTAAAAAAAAAATGTTCATTAAATTTCGAACCTACTACTATCAATGTGAAACTGAGTCTTTATCCCTTGTCACTGTGGCCAGTAAGACAAATGTGGTGTTAGTTAACTAAATTTATACCCAAACCGTAAATGTCACTATTGATATCCGTACGATTTTCAGTGGAATCCGAAATTGACCAGCAAAAGGTAATCGAATATTCAAATGTCTCGGAGTCAATATTGCAAAACAACAGTAAAATTCGAGATAAAAACAAATGTGTTTACATTGGCGATTCCAAATCATTTAACTCTTTTATTGATACATT